TATTATTCTGTGACCTGCGATTTCAACCGCATTTCATTGTCTCACTACCACCGAGTCGTGGTTGTCAAGTGGCGAGATGCCACCACCCCGACATACGGCAACATGCACCAATGGGTCGTAGAGTATTTGAGGATTTCACAGCCAGCCAGACCTCTCTCATATCACACTTTCATAGTTGAATTGTCGATGAGACCAACCTGTAAGTGCTATGCCAATCGAATGCGTGTTTCAATCTGATCCACTTATATTACCCAAATCGGCCAGTTATGACTACGAAGTCATGCTTTCGCTTCAATTTGTCGTGGTTGTTACACAGAGCCTCATCAACGCACCATGATAGAAATCCGATTCCCGATAGAGAAAGAGAAAAAAAGAAGTCATGGTGGCCAAAAGGAGTCCCAACCCGTTTCTTGACGGACTACGACACGTAAAACAGACTTATCCAAGTATTATCGTCGCCCTAAGTTCATGTTTGGCCAGTTGTTTGAGTATCACAAAAGACAATGACTATAGGCCTCAACTGGCCAATTAGTTTAGATTTGCCATGCTTCGCAAAAGTCTTTCTCCGCCGGAATAGAATGCAGTAGCCATCTCGCCTCATCCTCTTTCCGGCGTCTCCAACGCGGCAACATCTTACCGGCCCGCCACAGCCACACGTGACTATGTTTCTTGGGGCAGATGAGGCTGTTAAGGCAACCAAGGTCTCTAACAATCCACTGTTTTAAAGGGAGACTCTTGTGAATCGAAGACTTGAGAAAAAATATACAGACAGAGTGAGGTTCAAAACACTTTGTCGATCTTTGATATCCCCTGTAAACGTGAATTAGGAGGCTTGATTTTCCTCGAAAATAACATATATTTTATGACATGCATACACCGGTGTTTGTGGCGCGCATGAACCGGGTTTAAGTCGCCATGCAGATTCTGACGAGACCGCAGGAAAGCATAATAAAAATACACATGTATGTTGTATTAACCCTATTTTGTTTGAAGTAATGAGAGGACTGACATTGAATTTAGAATAGCCTTACTTTCCCGAAAGTTATTCTCATCCAGACAGGAGTGGACTGCGATTTCTAGCTTGCCCAGGTCTCATCAGCATTCCCGGCGGGACTCTAACCATGAATGCATAATCTCGAAAGCCTGCTTATAAATGAAATGTAATGTAGTCGATTGATAGAGCAAGTAAAACTTTGCTGTATCGTGATATGCGAAAATGCCTGGCCTTCATTGAAATTCTCATCTGCTTTGTGACACAAGGGCAATCTAGCATAGCGGTTATCGTGTCCTGATGCCACAAACCGGGCTCCAGTTGCTGGAGCTGCTGAGATCTGAGCGAAGTGGAAACTTCAGTCCGCTTCTGTCTGAATGAGTAAAGGAAAGGCTACGTGAAATGCAATACAAAACTTAAGGTCTATTGTGAGAAAATTCAAATACCATTGCCCTTATCACCTTAAACGAAATAGCGTGAATAAATCCCAAATATATGAAGATATGAAGACCAAGATGTTGTGGCCTCTGGTATGGTCGCACCAGAATTGCCATAAAAGGGCACACATTTTGACGAGTGTAATGTAAACAAGTGAGAGGTTGTGATAGGGCCAAGAGGGTCAAGAATAGATAGATAGGCCAGGACTGAGAGAGGAGTGATAGTGTGACCGTTTTTGGCAGAACATTTGTCGAGGGATTGGCTTCACTTGTCTCTTTGACGAGTTCGTAACTTGGTGCGGCGAATGGCAAAACTCACTGATGATGCCGACTATAATGCCGGTGAAACGTTTGAGAATGTACCAAGTCCACTGTCTGATACTGGGAATCATGACAACTAGTATGGAAGACGACTTCGGACTAGATGCGTCTTACTAAGTCGCCCTGACAACAAGACCAAGTTGCGACAACGAGGTCAACCCATTTCCCAAATATATGGTCTGCTGGTAATCTATCAATCTAATTATACACGAAAAGTAACAAAAACACATACAATGGCCTTAAGTAAAGCAACACCCCTTTCGACTTTTTGGCTCCAAACCAGTTTTGCAATGACAAATAATATGAATTAAAGTAGGTATGAAGAAAAACTGGCCTGGTATTGGGGCACTTTTCATTTCGTTTTAGAAAAAAAGTTTTAAAGGCATTTGTAAGTTGGTCTCATTGGAAGTCGAAGAGTGGTTGCGTTGGAGTTGTGACTGTAGATTTGTGCATCGTTCTGCGACCCCGATGCATTCTTGTTGAGCTTTCGCCCTTTGCGCGACGTACATTTTCCGAGCAGAACGCCATGCTTAAAAATAATTCACCAACACCCTAAGGCAAGAATGTTTCGATGAATTATCGTAAAGCGTGGTGTCCTGCTCCGTCACATGATGTTCAAAAGCTCAGCAAGGATTCGTCGGGGTTGCCCGGCGGAGCGCCGAGGACCTAGCTCCACAAATTTACAGTAACAATGCCAAAGCAATTCCCCTACACCTTCCAGTGATGCCAACTTACGAATGCCTACTACTCGCTTTTTCAAACGAAACGAAAGGTATTCTAACAATATCCACTAAGTTTTATGAGTAAAACGTTAATAAACTAAGAAATAGCGTCATAAGAATTTAGGGAATCTGAGCATCAGAGAATAGAGGAAAATTAGCAGGAGTCATATGAATGAGACGATAAAGAGCATGATAGAGTAGTCCAGGGGGACAAAGGTCTATTACAACTTGACCGAGGAACAAGAACAGACAAGGTGTCAGTAAAATCATAAGAAAATTGGCAAGAAATATGCCAATGTTGAAGATAGACAAAGTGAGAGCAGATATTATTATGGATAAGGTAGGGTGTTAAGGAAAGTGACGCAGGTTAAAGAAGATTTCGATACAAACCCTGAATATTTGATTCAAGGGTTAGCTGTAAAGTATGCAAAACCGATTTATTGGAGAATTGGGCAATGAATGTACTCATTCAGAGAGATGCTAGGCCTCTGAAAACATATAATACGCCCAACTTTGCAGAGTGCTTCGCATCTGGGGTCAATGTGAACGCTAAAGCTTGAATGAGTCATTTAACATAACGATTTCTTTTTAAGTATTTCACCAAATACGGACACATTTTGGCAGGAATCTTTCATGAATATCTAAACTTAATGAATGATCTTATAGTTTCCGACATACTCGTGGGGCAAAAAGGGCTTTAGAGTTAATATTGGCTCAGCATCCTGAGAAAAGTATTAAAAAAAAAGTTACACAAAGTGTTAGACACGAGTTTGATTGACTTGGGGATGAATAGCAAAGACATGGTGTGGACTCTATTTTAGATGCCAATTTAAAAACCCCAACCCAAGAAAGTCCAAAAACCTCGATTTGAGATGAGATGATTTCGTGACATTAGCATGAGATCATAATTAGTTTAAGTTGCCCTAAAGACAAACACACTATTTACTAGAAATATATAATTTGTAAGCAAACAACCGCATAATTGGATACACGTAAAATTGTGTGTAATTTTGTTTGTTATCATAAAAGCGTACCAAACAAACCAATTCAGTCCAATTAAAAAACCCCAACCCTAGAAAGTCGCAAAACCTTGGTTTTTGTATGATCTGTTTGGGTTTGAGGTGAGATCATTTCATGACATTAGCATGAGATCATAATTGGTTTATACAAAAACCGAGGTTTTGGACTTTCTTGGGTTGGGTTTTTTTAAATAGGAGTGAATTGGTTTGTTTGGTACGCTTTTATGATAACAAACAAAATTACACACCAATTTACGTGTATCCAATTATGCGGTTGTTTGCTTCCAAATTATATTTCTAGTAAATAGTGTTTGTTTTTAGGGCAACTTAAACCAATTATGATCTCATGCTAATGTCACGAAATCATCTCACCTCAAACTGAGGTTTTTGGACTTTCTTGGGTTGGTGTTTTTAAATTGGACACATTTTTTGGTTCTTCTGGCACCCAGAGGTTTATGTTTTTATATTATCTGGTTTTCTCAACTTCGCCGTTTTGTAAAGGTGGCCTAGATGAACGTACCTTGTTTCCCTCTTGGCTATAGGGCATATGGTACCTCCATATTAATAACAATTCCACAGCTAGCAGAATCAACTCGGTGCAGTAACAATTTGGAATGATGGGAAAAAAATTAGATCCGGAAAATTATTAATTGGAATTAATTGTTAATTATTTGGAAATACTGATAAATACGAACAAGTTTGAGATATATGCTTTTGTTGCAAAACATTGGATTGAAAAACTCTTCTAGGATCCCAGAGTTAACTTCTTATCAACTCTCAAAAAAGATTGCCGAACTACTGAAGAAGTTGGACAGTTAGACCACGTGTAAAGATTAAGTCCAGATCCAGATCAAGTCGAGGGCTCGTCAATGTGATGGAGACTTTCCAACTGATCCATAAGACGTCATCTCAATTTCAAGTAGAGAAATCATCAGAACAGGCAACATCGTGAATAGAATAGGATGCAAAAAAATGCAATGGTAACCATCTCTGGCTATTCAATTCAATTAGAAAAAGGGTGCTCATTGCATCAACACATAAACACACGCAATCTCACATAAGAACGGGCATTAACAATGCAGAAGCAAACTTTCGTCTACGCATGCCAGGAAGCAGTTGAGGCAACGCCCACACCCTCTTCAGGCTCCAACTTATCTCATCTGCCAGCATGTAGGCAGAAGCACGCGTTTACCCATCAAATCATGGGATGTCGCATTAAGATCGTAAAATTAGGCTACAAGAAGTAGGCAGAATTGCAACTGGCCACCTTTTTGGGTTTAGTTTATTGGTACATTTTTCTACATTCCGGACTCTCGTTCCGGACGGAGTCTGTCTCGGTGGTAGGCAATCCCTCCTTTGGTTTCCGGTAGTTCCAATTTACTGTTTAAACGACTTTTTATGATTATTCAAAAGTCAATCTTTTTTCACCATTTTAATGCCTTATTGCTTCAAGAAATGTCGACCCTTTCTCCAACCTTCTTTGATTACGATCCGATCACAATGTCCACTATCAGATTGGCACATCCGCCTTTTCTGTTCGCGTCTCAACCAAGTAGTGTGCTTTGACTGGGTCATGTGTTGCCAGGCGATTAAAGTAAATAGGCCGGAGAATACAAGTTGTACCGGTGCCAGGAAAGCGCATAATCACCACGGCTCTGGGGAGCTGGACCACCCAGTCATGAGAGTTCCCTTTTGCATTTGTAGACGAAAAGGAGTGTACTTTAGTGCTGTCCATTGCTCCATCTCTTTTGTCTATCTCTCCCTCCCCCCTTCCTCCTTCCCGCCCCCTTTCGTCCCCTTGCCCATCCCCTCATCTTAACCCAACGGTCCCAATTGGCCGCAGGTTCGCCCTGCCCTGAAGAGGAGACAAGACTTGGCAACAGACGCCACTCGAGTTGACTGGCTCGGCTGACCTGGTGGTTGCCGGGTGACCTAGAAACCAGCCACGAGGACACCTCGAGGCAGATCGCTTCCACAGGCCGGTCAGGCCGGAAGAGGCAACCGTACCGGCCCGCCTCGTCGAGAGGCCCCTCCCTTCGGTGCTCCATTTTAGGACTGGCCTTCTTTCCGGCCTTTTCGAGGGCCATGGAACAGCCAGTTTTTCTCTGTATCTCCGCGTCCATACACATTTGCATAATCGTCTTCACAACCGACACCGTTACATATTTGCCACTAAATAAATTCACATAGGGATATGCAAACGTATGCACAGGTGTGATTGTGTGCGTGTGTGTGCCTACATAGCCTGCTTAATGAGTCAGCTTTGCGAGTTTCCGAGACCACACCCGAAACAAGCCTGGCGTGGTATGGCGCTTCGGACGCCTTGTCGACTAAAGGGCCTATCGCACACACGACGACTCGAGCCGGGGAGGGTGTGGCAGCCTCGAAACGAGGGGACCGCCAGCCTCAACCACGTCGTTTCGACGCCTCCTTCCACCCACATTTATTATCCTCCCGCCCCAAATCATTCTCGTCTGCCGTCTCTGTCAGCTATTCCCCTCGAACCTCTCATAAACCCCGTCTTGTTCTGGTCGGAGCACCAAAGTCGACTCGACTTACGTCGACTTGCGTCGATTTACGTGAAGTCAAACCAAGTCGAAGGCCCATGGGTCCGGCTCGGTCGACAGGTCGGGTTGTTCAACTTGGAAAACTGCAAATACACACAGTCCTTAGTCAATGCAAACAGCACTCGAGCACCAAACAAATATGCGACAACGACCTTCAGGTATCAATTTAGATGGTGACAAATTATGCATGCTGTGATGGATCCGACTCATTTGCATTCCCCAGAACCCAAAATCCAGAATTATAACCAGAATCTATGTACATACATGCACCCAGACGTAACTACGCTTGGAGCCGAATTAATCATAGCTCTGGGGCATGACAACATCGAGGCCATTGTGCATGACTTCGTGCAGGCTGCAACCTATACGAAGTTCCCCCAGACCGGAAAGGCGTAATTATTGTCGTCGTCGTCGACAAAAGATCTTCTAATTGGAGGGTTCAACTAGTTGAAGGGTCATTTGGCGCCGGAACTTCGTCAATTCGAGGATAGAACTTGATTTCCTGAAACACAAGACAATGCCAATCGACCTGTTGCCAGTGCCTCTGTCATTGATCGCTACAGCGACAACCGCCATTTTCAGAAAGGTATCACGAATGCTCACTCAAACCGGCCTGACTACTTACAAGGCGTAGATCAGTAGTTAAATGCCAAACACACGGTTATGTGAGGGGGTGAAAATTCCATATCAGAGTTGGGAATGAGGAATTAACTGCCTTGTTGTGGGCATATATCCGTTGTGATTGGAGTGTAACACATTTCCGCTTTTCAGAAATCAAAAATCTCTTTGAACTATCGGATGACCTATTGTTTCCATCTCATTTCACCGCCCAATCAGACCCCTTTCCAGGCTTAGAATCGTCGATATGCGGACTCAGATGAAGCATGCTAGCCCTTAGGCCACACGACGCAGGAACAATTGTCTAGCGTGGCAGACAAACTTTGTATTCACAGACAACCGTGTATTTGCCAATAATCTCACCAAGCAACTGAAGTTGTCGTAAGTAGTAGCTTTGAGTAGTAGATTTGAGGTATTTTATTTCTGGATTATATTTGTATCCAAGGCGTAAGTTACGCGGCGATAACGAGTAGACGATGCGACAAGGGTAAACTCTAATGTGAGAAGCAGATCTGAAAAAGATAATGAATGCAGTCATTTGACCTTGTTTTCACAAGTTGGTCGTTTTGTCAGGTCGACTGACATCTTGTCCGGTTTCCATAGGATCCGTGACAATTTCCAGTGTCGGACTGTTGACTTGGTACATAGCGAAATTCATAGTATTGAAGCTCAAGAAACAAAGTTTAGTTAGAAAATCTAGTCTTACTTTAATTCAATACTAAAACCAGCCGAGACTGGTTCAACCTGAGGCAAATCAGGCTCCAGATGGTTACGATGCAACAAAGTCTCGAGGCGTTACGAATATTTTTGATCGGACTCTTTATCACTGAGGCCGTAGAAAAGTATACGATTATGGATATGTTGACAAGACAAGAAGACTGGATCTTTATCTATTTCTTCACTTTGTCCTGGTCACAAGGAAAACAAAAAGTCACATGCTTAGAAAGATCGAGATGAAGAGATGCGAGCCTAGGTAAATTGGTTTCACTTTACCCTTATAAGGGCTCAGGTGGTTCATAGTCGAATAATCCCAGCCTCCTCATCTGAATCTGATGCTATAGTTTGCGCCCTCCGAGGTTATCGGATTTAGCCTATACTTCCCTCCCAAAAGTGGACACGACGGAGCATAGAATAAAAAATCTCTGTTGCCACGGCCTACGAGACAAATGAGGAGAGAGGGTGGGGTCAGAGCTGATGTCAGCAGGCTTCAGCCTACAACTAAACATTAAGTGTTTTTTATTTTTCGTTTAAAAGTAGGGTTTCGACACTACCAGCCGATCATTTATAAGATTTATTCACCCTATTTAGTTTAAGTTGATGAAGGACTGGTAGTTGAATTTTCCCACAATCAGTTGAGTAGAGCTCACGCTTAAATTGAATTTCACATAGTTTTGCTTCCCAAAAGGTATTATAATCCAGATTTGATTGGAGTGCAATTTCAACCTCGTCTTCGTCTCCTCCGCAACCCGAGCGAGAGTCGAATCAGCGTATAATCTCGACACGTGAGTCTCGCTGGGGATTTTGATAAGACCAAGGCGAAGTCATAACTGCATTCCAGCCTGGACGAGAACATTTTTTGGTGAAATTGAATGGAAACGCCGGCTCTACTCAACTGACTGTGGGAAAATTGAATTACCAGTCCTTCATCATCTTAAACGAAATAGGATGAATACATCTCATTAACCGTTGCTGTTTCCAGTAGACACGAGCAGTGACGGCTTGACTGCAGCTCAGTCTTTTCCGTTCGAATCCAACGACTCACATGACTCGTGTTGTGCATATGCGAGTCCGTGTGTGTCTATGTGCCAGTGTGTCTGTGTGATGAGGCTCTCATTCATCTGAGATGCGGCCCTCGGCAACAAGAACTCAACGAGGCAACTGAGTCGCAACCCGGTGACGACAGGTTATTGGACAGGATGGAACAAAGTGATTAGACTGAAACTGGGACTCACCTCGTCCTCCGGCTTGCGCCTGTCTGTGCCTCCCTTGCCTACCGGTTGCTTGGGCTCAACACCACCTGTCCGTGCGGGTAGAGTCGAGCAGGCAGACTCTGTTTGGACATGCGATAAAAAGACGAGATGATCTTCACCATGACGACAGTGTTGCGATGGTGACGAAGGCGATGCTGCTGGCGCTGAAGGCTGACGCAGATGAAAGCCTCGGCGGTTGCGGTGAGGACGTATTGAGTCGCTCAGATGGTCGAGGGGACCTGTCGGACACTCGTGACGCGGCTGAGAGTCAGGGTGCG